TAAAGTATAAAAGAAAATCATTCGGAATTTATTTTTCTGCTTTTTGTAACGGTTTTACTAAAAACAAAACTTTTTACACTATTTATGATATTTTAAACAAATTGTGATCACATAATTTTTATGAACTTATTAAATGTTTATTGCAAATTTAATGCTCTACTATATACAAAAAAATATTTTTACATTTACACAAATGGTGATAAAATATCAATGACGGAATGTAAAGCAGTTTTATCGGTTGTTTAAATATTGAAACCAGCTTCAGAAAGTTATTGGTTTTTAAATATGATCATCACATTCAACATACCACAAAGCAGGTCCAATGTCGGTTGAATAGCCATTCCTGAATCAATTCTTACTAACAATAATCACAACAAGTTCTAAGACTTTAATTTTTGTATCCTGCAGCAGTTTTTTAATTTTAAATTATGTTTCAATTTTATCGACGTGATAGAACTGATTTGAAGGAGCTAAGAGATTTATTGCGTTAGCATATTTTCTGCAAAAAAAGTGAGTTTAACTTTCTATTAATAAATATATCTATGTGGGAGCGGCTGTGATTTGTAGAACTAATTTTTATGTACTCTATTTCTGTGAATATGGACCCGTTCAAAAAATAAGAATATTTAAATTTTGCCTCAACATATAAGTATTGACGTCGACACTAATATAAACATTCTAAAATAAGAATGTTTTTAATAAAAGTTAGTGTTTCTATTAGGATGATTTTTCTACAGAGTTTTTTAAAATTTTTTTTCTATTACTAACAGAATTTATTATTTTTAATTTATCATTTTCATTTTATTATTTTTATATGATTATTTTTTATGTTACAATTTTTTTCACATTATTTCAGATTTATTATTTTTAATTTATAATTTTAATTATTGCTTTTTTATTATTATTATTTTTATATTATTACTTTTATATTATTTTTATTTGGTTTCTGTAAGGTTTCCAACCGTAGCTATGTTTCTGATATTTGATCAGGTCAGCACTTTACGCGCAGACATTGTTAATCCAAATTTACAACTTTTAGTTACGATTCCCAAAATTTTAAAAAATTAAACATTCAAAGTAAAAAGTAAATTTGAAAATTAAGTATAAAAAAATAAGACCTGATTTTTAAACATTTGAAGGCTTCGACACAAACGTTTAAATACGAGTATTCTTGAATCATATAGAAACTGTGTCCGTCATTACGAATCTCGAAAAATTAATTCAGATCCCGAAAAAGATCTTCAATCAGAAAAACCTTAATATTAATATTTAATATTATTTAAACGACTTAAATTATATTTCAATAAGCAACCTAACAAATAATATTTGATTCGATGTAATTGGCTATTCTACTGACTAAGATTTGAAAAATATAGTAATTCAAATTGCATTTATTTCGTGTCCTCTTCTAGATCCCAGGAGGATCTATCTTAATAATCATGAAATCCCTAATATATTCAGAAATTCATTTGGGAAATCATCCACTATTTCTGAGGTAGTCTTTGCAAACTGGAACGCTGTTAATACCGCTCGACTCTGCGTGAATATATATGTAGACAAACAGAAAGATGAAAGCGTGAGAAATACAAATGAAGTTATGAATTTTCGTATAAATTTATTTACTAAAGACTTTTAGTTATGGTAAATTCGCGCAGTGTATTTATTCTTCTTTATATATCTCGTGTTCAGTTTGATAATTTAACTATAGCCCAAAGTGATCTATAAAATACAGTTATCAAGTGGATCTATAAAATACAGTAATCCTCCTATAATGCGGTATTATTATACCGCGATTTCAATCCCCCGTATAACACGGGCATTCCCCCATTTAACGCGGGGATTTTTACAGTTCATAATTAGATTCACGCACCTTTGCACGTTTGTATACTGGGTATACAGGAATACCCCTATAACGCGGAACTAATCTACTGTATACAGATTACTACTGTATGGATTACTATATTCAGAATTTCATAGCTAATTGGTCTCTTTAAGTATATAATATATATTATTCAATCAGGTGATCTTGATATTTGATCATCTGCCATTTGATTAATTTCTTTATTAAAAACTCCAATAACTGTAAATTGCTGTATATACAATTTGCAACTTATATGGTAGCGGAGTCGCCAGTAATTTTTTTAAACAAAGTTCTAATATGTTGGTAAGATATCGATATTGTCCTGGTTTTATTGAGGAATATCATTTTTTGTTATTTGATTACATTTAAAGTCATAAGACTCTAGTGTGGGGAACACAGATTCCCCACATTTCTTCTCTTCTTTTCTTTTCTCTTCTCTTCTCTTCTCTTCTCTTCTCTTCTCTTCTCTTCTCTTCTCTTCTCTTCTCTTCTCTTCTCTTCTCTTCTCTTCTCTTCTCTTCTCTTCTCCTCTCTTCTCTTCTCTTCTCTTCTCTTCTCTTCTCTTCTCTTCTCTTCTCTTCTCTTCTCTTCTCTTCTCTTCTCTTCTCTTCTCTTCTCTTCTCTTCCCTTCTCTTCTCTTCTCTTCTTTTTTTCCTCTTCTCTTCTCTTCTCTGTTGCTTCTCTTCTCTTGCTGCTTCGTATCTCGTCTTTGCTTCTCTTGCTGCTGCTCGTTTCTCTTCTGCTTCTCTTCCTCTTCTCTCTTCTTATCTCTCTTTCTCTTCTCTTCTCTTCTCTGTTCTCTTCTCTTGCTTCTTCTCTCTCTCTCTTCTCTGCTCGTTCGTCTTTCTCTTCTCTTCTCTTCTCTTCTCTTCGCGTGTGGCATGGGTGGTCTCGCGCTGTCTCGTTGCGTCTTCTTTTCTCTTCTCTTCTCTTCTCTTCTCTTCTCTTCTCTTCTCTTCTCTTCTCTTCTCTTCTCTTCTCTTCTCTTCTCTTCTCTTCTCTTCTCTTCTCTTCACTTCACTTCACATAGAATAGAAGATTCTATGCTTCACTTGAAATACCTATTTATTGTAAGTGAACATATATTTCAATAAACTCAGCAAATACTAAATGCGAGTTTACTAGGCCTTTTGGTTTCTTTTAAACAAAAATATTAAAATGGTGGAAAACCCCAACGAAACTTCTGGTGTAAAATAAAATAAAATAAAATAATTTTTTATAACTACTAAACTCATTATATATTAATATAAATAACTGGAACTTTCACAGCAAATTGACAAAACTCCAAGTTCGAACGTACGTGTCAACTATGGCTTTGCGTCAGTTGGCTAACGAACACTGACTCTGAGTTCCAAATTTAACAGGGTACAAGTTCAACCTTTGGTACTTGCAGTCTCTAAAAATTATTTACGAATAATTAAATATAAAAAGTAGTTCCAAGACTACTGATGATGGGTATGGTCAGCCAAAATTTAAAAAACTAAGTTTAAAAAAGAATTTTTGTTGTAGTTCACGATAAGTATATCGAAACCTCTCTAATAAATTACTAGTTAAAAAAAAATGTAAATTTACTTTGATATCAAAGTACAAGACAATTGTAGTTAATTTTTTAAAATAGTTGATACTAATAAGATTGAAGTTTTGAATTTAGTAGATTTTAATGTTATCAAAAGTAAACCTACCGTTTAGTTATGTTACATTATTTGAAATCATTATATTACATGTCATGTAATTTGTCTGTTAAGTGTCTAGTAATATAATTTAATATTGAAGTGAGCTGCTTTTGTTGTACGGTATATAATTTTGTATAATAATGTCTTCGATATCTGATATATTGCATATTATTTCTTTGTAATATATGTTGATAATTCAACAATTCTAATTTGGCTTTGTATGTTTTAGTTAGTTAGTAGCAAGTGAAAATTTGAACTTAATATTTCATTATTTAAAGCAAACTCTTTGTCTAGCTTACACTATATAAAACTTATATTAATTGCGTACACCAAATAGTTGTGTAATTTATATTATTTATGATGTTAGCTTACACAGACTTAGCTTGCAAGACATTGAATAATATGTACAGATTTCTTGACAACACCTTCAAATTAAATCTTGAAAACCAGTCCTTGTTTTACGGAGTAATTTTAAAGTTAGACTAGGTTCAGGGGTTCGATTTGTTGGAAATGAATTTTGGTATAT